ACTTGTTCATATTTAAGAAATACCTAGAAATACCTCCCTGTGCCCGTAAATGTAAAAGAGAAGTGGTGAAGAGCTGGGGGGGCACACACAGAACAGGGAGCAGGCAGCGTGTGCTGGCAGCGAGAGCAGGACAGGCTGCTGGGAGCCAGACCTGCAGGGGTTAGGGACTGCTCTGGTCCTCATCAAACCTTCCTCACACCCCCCAAACCTTCAGTCCCAGCTGTCCCCCCTCCTTCCTCCCCTAGTAGCCAACAGCCTTGTGCAGTAGGACCTGTGGATGGAGATATCCCAAAAAGGGAAAGCTAGGATCCTCTAGGAATTCCCATCAACGTGCCAAATACAAAATACCGAAACAACCCCCTCTCAGCAACAGACTAAATATGGTGTATACCCAAAGGATCAGAGCACAGGCCTGAGTGAAATTATTTCTCTTAACATCAACAGCTCTGTCTTCTCTGGAAAATAAACCCTCCTGGGGAAGATGGATGGCACTCATATTGGTCTCATCATCTTAAAAAAATACCTATGAGGGGAGGCTGGGCTGAAAACCTCTGCTGTCACTGGGTCAGGAACTTGCAGGTGTGATAGACCTGTCGCCCCTTCTTCTAGTTCTGGCCAGTGGTGAAAAAATTTGGACAAAGAGGAGAGAGGGAAAGAGCCCTGGGGTTTCTGCTGTGCAACATTTCAGATGCAGGGCCAAGTTTGGGCCTCAGCTGGAGAAGACCAGATTTGCCAGGGCATTGACACAGTCCCGGAGGTCACAGACTGTCCTGCCAGAGGAAGGGCTGGTGTCTGCAGAGGTGTGGGGCTGCCACAGAGCCATGCAGAGCCTTCCAGGACCCAGCAGCGCCATATCAGACCTGTGCATGTGTGACTTTGCTGGAGCAAAGCCAGGGAAATGATCACCATCACATAAATCCAAGAAACTTGTCCTTGTTAGCCGAATGTTCCTCACAGGGCAGGGTAGTTCTTCCTATCTTACTTTTTTCCCCTGCAGTTTCTTGATTGCAAACTTAGCTTTTAATTAGAAACACAATGAAATGCAAGGGAATCCTCTGAAAAGTATGATCATTTTAACATTCATCAAAGTTATTCTAAGAAGTTCCTTTTAAACACATGCAGCTGTTTCACAAAAGCAGACACATTATAATAGTAGCTTAAAAAGGAGTGGAAATTATTCTGGCTGGTCTGCAAACCCCTGCACATGCAGGCTTGCTGCCCGAGGAGGGAGTTGAACAGCAGCAGTGCTGGAGGGTGATATATGATGTGACATTAAACGGAGCTGGAAAGTCCAAAAAAATATTACTGCTTACTGCTGGGACTGAAAGAGTTTCACTCTCAAACCATGTGGGGTAGGAATTGATGAGTATAAGCATGGCTTCCACCCTTCACTTAAAAGCTAATGTAAGAATATACTAATCTGACAGCCTGCCTGGGGGTTCCTGAAAGTTGTGGTGGTTGCTTTAAACCAAAGTTGCCTCAAAATTCAAGCTGTGGATTTCCAGACAATGATGAGTTTGTGACAAGAAAATAAGCTTTGTTTAAACCCCTTGATTTGTTGATTTATTTGTTTTAATTACTTTTCTAGAAAAAAAATGAAGTATTAAGCAGCCTACCCTTAAATATCTCCTTACTGAATTTGCACTGTAAATATTATACTCGGGGGAAAGGAAAGAGGACCCAAGAAGGAAAGAAAGAAACTTTTAGCTGCCTTACCATGATGTAACCTGAACACAAGAGAGGGGAAAAAAGAAAAGCACAGATGGTGATGTTAGTTTGTTAAATAAAGCATCAGGTAAGCAATTTTTGTTTTGTTTAAAAATGTTTTTACTCAAGTTTTACCAACCATGTTTCTCTAAGATGACAAATGTAATTAGAACAGGTAATTGTACTGGTGGATTACCCCTTGTGTCAAGCTGTGCCCTTGCAACAGGAGGGACAGTTTGTGCCCAAGCCAGGACAATCAGTCTTGAGAACAGCCTGATGAGGGAACACACTCACCAACTGCTTGGTGTTTGTGCTTCTCGCTGCTGCAGGTGTCAGGTGTGTGAAGTGCACAGAGCAGGTCAGAATCAGCTGCTGCTGAAAGGGTGTGTTTGCAAGTGTGAACGAACCTTTTGGGGTTTCTTTTCCTAAAGGTGATTACCCAAGGCTAATCAGTCCTCCGGAAAACCGATCCAGTGACACCGAGATCGGGAGCCTGACATGAGGGTGCTCAGGAAGGAAAATGTAACTGACTCTTCAGGGGGAGCTGATAAAGCTTCAAAAAAATCTCCTCTGTGCAGGACAGAAACTAAACCCTCTGAAACAGCACGGCTGCCCTGCAGTCAAGAGACACAGTTTGCTCTCCTTCGAGGGGAGAGCAAAAATTTGGTCTTGAAGAATTTTTTATTTTCAAATCTTGTGGGTTAAGTTCTTCCAAAGTGCTTTCCAGATCTGATATCCACACCAGACTTCACTGGCTCCTTGTCACCTTCACTTGTGATAATGTGCTTAGACAACAAACAGCCTCTTTTAATGGCATTCCCTCCATAACGCTCTTGGTTAATGTTCAATCTCCAACAAAACTCACAAATGCATTATGCTATTTAAAGACCCTAAACTTCTTTATGCTTGTATCTTTTTTTTTTTTCATTTTCTGTTGTCAGTAGAAAGAACAAGGGCAGTTAATACAAGACATCCCAGGCTGTAATTATGCAACTTCTGAAGTTAAGAAAATAATTTTTGTGTATGCTCACCTAGGTGGCAATTTCTTCTAAAACCTGAACCTGTGACTTTAGGACTGTGAAATATTTTGATCTAAATATTGATCTCACCTTAAAATTTTATGGAATGCTAAGTGCATCCGTGTGGGAAAGATTTTGCAATTCCTTTTCACCCAGTAACAAGGCAGGCAGGCAGAGGACTTGCTGTATGTCAGCATCTTGAAAGATCCTCTCATATTTCATGTACTGACAAGATAAATGCTAGATGATTAATAATATTATTAGACCAGTATGTTTTCATAGACATATTTCAAAGCTTTGTTGTAAATAAACATCACTGGAAATACATTTTAATTTGCCTTTAGTTTGCTTGTACAATGATTATACTTTGAAACAAGAGATTGTTTCTAACCCCCAGATGTGGGCTGTGAGGGTATTGGAGGATTAGATGAAATTCAAGTTACACCCAGAGCAAACAGACCAAATTCACCCACTGTCCAACACATTGTCTGTACAATGGGTGAATCCCCAGAGAGAACAGTCCAAAGATTCCCTTGTTTCAAATGTATTTTGTCTCTGATTTCAGACATATATCTTGTTTCTCTGGGCAACTACAGACAGACCAAGAGGACACAGTCTCAAGCTGTGCCAAGGGAGATACAGGCTAGAATTAAGGAGGAAGTTTTTCACAGAAGGAGTGGTCAATACTGGAATCATCTACCCAGGGAGGTGGTGGAGCCACCATCCCTCGATGTGTCTAAAAAAAGGCTGGATGTGGCACTTGGTGCCATGATCTAGTTGAGGTGTTAGAACATGGGTTGGACTCAATGATCTTAAAGGTCTCTTCCAACCTAGAAATTCTGTGATTCTGTGATCTTTACCTCAAAGCTCAGTGAAGGATGCCCTTGTAGCAGCCTCTGCTTTCCTGACTGTGGAGAGAGAGGAGCCTGCTGAGCTGTGTGCTTGGGAAAGGACAGGTACCAAACATCCTTTTGTCTTCTTCAGCCTGGGCAAATTTTATTTTAATTTCTACCACCAAAAATTTCCCAGGGAGCTCCATGGCACCTGGGCAGCATCTGAATGATCTATGGTGGGAAGACAGAAAGAAGAAGCAGAGGCTTTGCTTACACTGAAACATTTGCATAGCAGAGAAGGTTTGAGCTTTTGTGTTTTCAGAGACTTTTTCTTTGCCCTTAGAAAGACAATTCAGAATCCAAATACACATAAAAATTTGATCCACTGCTTCATGGAAAAACACAGGTCTAGCACTGAACTTCCAGAAAATCAAATGAAAAATTCAGGGATGGCTCTTCAGCCCAGCAGCTGCAAGTGACAGAGGTGTGAGCACAGAGCACACAGAGATTGCCTTGCCTGATCCAGTGGTCAGCTGCCACTGCTGCAGGGGACTTAGAGATGGATTTGATTGAGGTTTATTTGCAAACACACGTCCTCCCCTCCTGGCAGCACTCCTGAGGCACTCACAAATCAGCCAAGGAGGAGCTGCCAGCACTGCCAGTCACACGGAGGAGATGAGCTCACTGCTGAGGCTCAGATGGAACTGCAGCCTCTCTGCAATCCCACATCACAGTACAGGCTGCTAGAGAAATAAAAACTATCCCTGCAGTGCTAACTGGGTCAAATCAAGATAAAGGCAACATTTCACAGTGTGAAATTCACATCTTGGGGTCCTTCACAAACTGCAGGTTCTCCTCCTCTCTTCCCCCCCTCCAGGGTGCCATTTATCTAACAATAAAGGTTTTTAAGGACCTGACTCTAGAGATTTATTTATACAAAACTCCTTTCAGTACCACTGGATATATTTCAAATTTATGCATTTTGTTAAAATGAGAAGAGAAAAAAATAGATGTTATTTTTTATGTATCCCTGCAAGTTTGGCTTTTAAAATAAATTACCATTTCAAAACATGTAAATACCTCAGCTAAAAAAGAGTTCTGGGAATCAGTAATCTACTATCAACTTTATTTTTAGCTTTGCCTTAAGAGTTTCATGCTGTTTGGGAAAAAACCCCAGAAGTTCCTTTGCCTCCCATATACCCAGTGTTACACTGCACAATTTATAGCGACTCCAGATGGAAAAAACTTACCCTTGTTTGTTTGCTGGAATGAAGATAAATATAGTCCCCATTTCTGGAGAATTAAAAACAACTATCCCTCTAAATCACTCCAATTTTTCTATTAGGATTTCTTTTCCCTTACTTCTCTGAAAGTTGCAGCTTCTTTTTAAAAAGAATGATTAAAATGTTTAGTTTGAACACTCTCAAAATACCACACAGAATAAAATTGAAAAATTTTATTCAGAAACACAGGAAAAAACACACCAAGATATAAATGTAAAAATTATAAGTTATTATATAAAAATTTCTTGGATAAACTCAGTATATTCAGGTGCAATTCTAGACACAGGATTCACTAATGTGAGTCCCTATACAGTCTTCCTTCTATCAGCACTGGGGAAAGAGCTTTGCTACCATTTTTAAATTGACAGTAAGCATGACCTTGTCATCCTGTCTCATGAGTAGATCTTACAAGCTAAAATGGTCCCACTGGATTTATTGGAGAAATGTATGAAATGAAGAATGTCCTAAATTAAATCTGACAGACCTTGAAATGAGAAATTAGAAAATGAAAGATATCATCTCTTTGTACTTTGTAAAATAAGAGGCTCTTCGATGCTTGTGCCAGCCATCCTTCCTGGTTCTGGAATTCTGTCTGAAAATGAAACACAGACAAAAATATTCTCATGTATCTGGAGCTCCAAGGTCTGTTATCTTCTACTATTACCAACTTTGATGCACAATATCATAATAGGGAATTTAGGAAATTTTATAGATAAATGTTTCCATGCAGCTGTAGGAGAGAAAAGCTTTATATTACTGAGAGTAGATTTCAGACAACTTCCAACTCAGCTGTACAAATGAGGTAAAGAAACACCACATTTCACACCTTTTCTCAGGATCCCCAGTCTTCTGGGATACTCATACATCTAAATAAACAAGATAACTTCTTAAGTGAAAAGCAAGCTGGATGTTAAATAAGAGACTTGGCAGGTTGAGTTTATGAATGGACTTGATTACCTGAATATGCAGCCTAATGAAAAGAGCAGGATAATTAGTATTTTAAACCCACTGCCTTTAGGTCTCTACTAACATACTCCTCAAATACATGCAGAAAGTCATTTCAGAATATATTTACTTAAAGGGTCAAAGCCTTAAAACTTTTATGTTTTTGTTTAGTTCTAAAACAGCAATGTGCTGTTGTGTCTTATGATTGATCCTGAGTTCTGTACCTAACAGTAACCAATTAAATCTCCATGTGAAGTTATATTGGGAGTCAACATGGCAGGGTGACCCTGCAGAGTCAGCAGAAACAGAAGTTACTTTAAAAACAATTCTCCTATACACTCAGTTTGTTTTAAAAATAAGAATTTCTGATAGGAATAATTGTTTTCTAACAAAGACGTACTTTATAGTAGTTTTGGTATGGAAATTTTGTTTCTTCAGCCCCCTCTTCTGGCAGAAGAAAAACATCATTGTCTCAATGAATTAACTGTTAAAAATCTGTTAGTACTTCTCACCCTTTTTAGATGTCAGTAGGCTTCAAACTTTTGAAATTTTTGGATACAAACCAAACAGTTCACTGTATTAACAGGAGAGTAATAAATTTGCACAGTAAAAAATGAAGCAATATGCCAAGCAGTCTCTTTGAAGGAAAAAGCTGGGCTAATGAAGCTTTTCATTCTCTAGCTTAGGTGGTATTAATTGTAACCAGTCCAAAAGCAGACCAGAAAAGGCAAGTGAGACTTAGCAGTGTTTACTGTAGAGCACTGAACTTTGGGCTTAAGCTTTTGTGGCAAATAGGATCTGAATTATGTTCTCAGAAAAGGTTTATGCCCGTGGAAAGAACTGACAGCTGAAGAGTTAAGAACTTTCTATAGAGAAATTAGGTTAGACCAGATAAGAAACAGACATATGCCTGCTATTTAATATATTTTATTGAGAATTTAGGTTAAAATATTGTATTGAATTCCCAGTATAGTGAGACTGTCTCTAGCTGACCCTTTTCAGGTTTGTAATAATATAAGGGAGTACAATTTGGCCAGCTGAACTTTTAGGGAAAAGGCATTTGGTGACAGATGAAAGCACTCCTTGCACAGAGGAGGAGGTACACAGTGTCCAGCTGCATGGTTGTGCTATTATAAACACATCCATGGTCTAGGAAATCTGGTCACAGATAAAAGTTCTGCAAAAGTAACATTGCACACACCTTTTTGATTTCTCTCAGCAAGTGGTTTGCCAAGGTTCTGCTTTGGATAGTTCAGCAAGGACACTTTTGGAAGGATATTCTGGGTACTTTCTTCTTTACCACCATGTAGGAAATGAGAGAGAATTCCATACAGGAGAGGTCTGCTTAAGGGAGAAATTCAAGAGTAGTCTGTAAAGTCTATGAAATACTGAGCATTAAAAATACACCCTTCCCCCAGGACTTCTTAGATCTTAATATTTACTTCTAAAATATGTACATATGTCTTTAATGACTTAAAACATATCCAAGTACCATTACATAAATAAGCACAGACCTAAGCTCCCCCTGAGCACCAACACTGCCCTAAAAAGCTCAGACTAAGAGACACTCCCCACTGAACTTCAGCTCCACTGGCAGGTGAAGAACTGAAGTGTGTTCAGCACAGGAGGACAGATCCACATTCTCACCCATGCATCAGAAGGATCCACACACTCACAACAGATCAGACTTTGGAGGGCCAGTCCACCATGGCACATCTCAAACTTGGCTCTTCCTAAGCACTGACAGCACAAGCACAGAGAATGCTGAACGTGTCTGAACCTGCTTCAGCCTCAGGTCATTAATGCAGTTTTATTGCAGCACTCTGATTCTATATCTAATCTCACATTAGTCTTTCTGTTGCTTCACACAGCAACTCACAGATATGCAAAGAGCAGATCTGCTTTCTGTAGACTGTACTGGTAAGAGAGTTGTGTTTTGGTGCACACTGGCAGAATGCAGTGTTAGTGTGGAGTATGTCTGAACATGGCCCCACGTTTGGCATCCTGAAGCTGAATCCAGCATTTGAGAACATGCGTGGGATCAGCCACATTTTAACTGGTGAGAACATCTATATGTGATTTATAATTAACTAAAGAGAAAAATATAGTGGCATACAGAATAAACAGTGCATTCCATAATTCTTCCTTACACTGATTTTCCACTTGCATCTTCAACTATATTCAGCTCTTTGGCAAGAAATTGTCTATCCAAGGGCACTTCAGGCTGGCCGGATTCTGGAAAACAAAATCCCTGAATCTTAAGACCAGTAAGAAAAATGTCACCAATTAATGGAAGACTTCAAAAGATCATGAGAGCACACACCTTCCTTATAGACTATTAATAACTAATAGTGTATTGTAATTCAGGGAACTCACTTAAGCATTAGTGATTCAGACCAAGGTATGAATATAACAAATTATACCAAGGTATAATTTACAATAGCATATTACAGTTTTTTATCTTCACTTTTAAAGAATCTAAGAAAAATATTAAAGAAGTTTTACAGTACAAAGATTAATTAATCAGGCAAACAACTCTTCCTCTAAACTACTACTCTCAGACATGTCAAGAAATTTGAGTTTGCAGGCTGTTATCAAGTTTTCTTGCCCTTGCATCAACTACTGTGTCAAACAATTTACCTCAAGGGTAAAAGAGAAGAGAGTAAGTTTTCTTGAAAACTAATGGAGTGATTTGGCTTAATGCTGCAAGTAGAGCTGTGGAGAGGTTGTCTGTACCCTGTTAAAGACAAGATTATGCAGCTTGTCACACTTACTGATTCCATAATATCAATGGAATTATTCAACCAACCAATCACTGATTACTATTGCAGCAATGACACAAATTCATGGCCAATACCTGCGGTCAGCACAGATGCTGAGTATTTATACTTGTTGTACTCCAGGTATTCCCGAATGAGCTCATTGATCAGGAGGTTCTCCCGGGACAGCGTGGGCCGCGGCTCGCTCTGGTCGTCCAGGGCATTGAACACCTCAGCTCTGATCCTCGCTTTGATTTGGGCAAGAGCTCCTCTTTTTTCCAGTGTGTCCTTTAGAACTACCAGCATAAAAAGGCGCGTTAATTTTAAGCCAAACGCATTCAAGCAGCAGCAGCATTAATTAGGCCCGATACAAACAGCGCTCTGGCGTGTGCCAGTGCCACAGCGATAAGGTATCGACACCTGTGCACGTGCCAGGACCCACCAGGCCAGGCACGTCCCAGATAAAACTCAGCCTTCAGAAAAGTCACAAATACAATTTTTTTCTTTTTTTTAGTCGCAAGCATACATTCTGGCAATTTAAGAAATAGGATGTTACTGCACCAATACTGAAATATACTGAAGTATACAGCCCGCGGTACATGACGGGGGGCAGCGCCAGGGGACGGGGGCCCCCAGTAGCGCCCGCGGCAGCTCTGAGACCCCTCCCGGTGACAACGAAAGGCCGATCCGCGCTTCTACCCTCCCGGCGGCCCGAGACATCCCCGACCCGGCCGCAGTCCCGGCCCCGACCTGCTTTGAGCTCCGCCACCGTCGCCATGGCCGCGCCAGGCCCCGAATGGCGCCGCACGCAGTGCGCAGGCGCGGGGCCGGGCGGCGGGAGCTCCGTGAGAGAACAGAGCGGGGCCGGGAGCTCCCCGAGGGGACAGCGCGGCTCCCGCCCGGCCCCTCAGGGAGCGGAGGCCCGGGGGATCTCTCTGCTGCCGGCGGCCCGCGGGCCGGGTCGTGCCGGGATAGAATAACCAGCATCAGCAGCGCCTCCGTGCTGCCCGTGGAGCTACAGCTCGGTGTCCTGGTGTCCAGCCCCGTCAGTTGGGCGGGGTGTCAGGGGTGCCACGCTTTCTCCTTCTGTAATTTCAGAGGTTGGCATAAATCGGTGAAGGAAGCATGGAAAATGAGCGAGAATTTCTTCCATGTGTGCAGCGGGGGAGTTTTGCACCGAGTCCCTGACAGATGTACTGTTGATTAAAAGTACTCGCCGAAGCTGAGCTTCTAATGAAAAGGACTTGCCAAAATGTAACTGTATACGGGGTGTTTTGCAAGCCTGAGGATCCCTGGCGTGTCTGCAGGCTTGTGTGTGTGCTCCGTGTTGCTGGGATGAGTCAAGAATGTTTATTCTATCAATGTATGAAGTATTTCCCAAAGGAAATGCAGCCGGTGTGGGTGAACAAACTGGATTTGCTGTTGTCTGCTGGGGCTTGAAGGAAAATGTGAGTTGTCTTAGGCAGTAATGGCTAAGACAAGGCTTACGTGTGGGGGTTGGGGAGTTCGTTAGGATTGTTTTGTTATGTTTGTTTTTACATTTCCTCTCAAAGCAAATATTTATATGACAGTCTTCCAGAGCCTCTCTGGTAGAGGTCAATAAATAAAATTTAGGAAACTCAGAAGTGGTGGTGAAGTCAATGTGTTTTCTTAGGCCAGCAGTCGCTGACAGCGAGTCAGAGCAGTGCTTGCCCCCTGGCCACCCTGAGCCCGCTTTCCGGATCCCCAGGGCGACTCCAGGGACAAACAGCTGCTTATGTTTAATGTCACGGCATTTTCACAGTCTAAACATGTTTCTCTGCATCCTTCCAAACTTCTCCATTATCTTGTGAGTCACTCTTCCATCACACCTGATTTCCCATTAATAAAGTGAGTGTTGCAGTTTTCCACACGGCTTCAGTTTTCTGTCCTGCTTCAAATTGTATTCTACAAAAAAAAATCATATAGAAATTTTGTGTGGTTCTTTTTTCTGCTTGCAAGGGAATGTCCTTTTCAGACAAGATTTCAGTTTCTATTTGTTGTATTAATCTGTGTTTTAAAAGATGCTGTTACAACAGTGGTTTGTGAAATCCACATTCAGTGACTTTCTGGTACTCTGAGATTTGATTCTGTATTTCTGCAAGTTTGGCCTCATGTCAGCTCTAGTTTTTCTCCTCCACAAAAAATATTTTGAATCTATTAAATTTTTCTTCTGAACTCTTTGGCTTCCTCTCACATTAATTATTTAATCTGTATTTTGACTGTGTTTTGGTTTACAAGGAAATAGAATTAATTGGAAGAGAACTAATTTGAGGTGGAAATCCAAGAATAATTTTTGAGGAGAAACATCATTGACACGGAGCATGATGACTGGTGACATTGAGACAGTCTGGGGCTGAAAGAAAAGTATTTGGAATGTGAAACTTAAATTTTGTTAGTCTTTTAGCTTACAGTAAACATATGTGGGTAAAAAAATGTATCTTTGTAGACACTCTTCATGCTTATTTATTGTCTTTTACATATAAAAATAAAAGGAATCATACTTGAATGTTTAGCTGTTCTCTTGCAATACTATAAAGATTTTAATATGATATGAATTCAGGTATGGGTTAAACTGACAAACTCGTAGGACTTCTGACACCCAACATGTGTGGTTTGATCTTTCTGTGATGATTCTGCTCCGTTCATCAGTGCAGACGGGAGCTGGGCGGGCTGGACTCAGCTGCTGCTGCTCTTCGACCTGACACCCTGAGAATGTGGGATCCAGGGGGACAGACCAGAAATATTGCAGTCAGATGGACAGTCTGGCTACCACTAGTGCAGCTCTGAAACTGCAGCCTTGGAAGGGCAGGTGAATAAAGAAGCAGTCTGTGATATATTTTTTGTGTGTGCGATGCCTGCTTTTAAGTTACACATTAAAGAATCGACCTGTCCCTTTTTAACAATTTTGTCTGTTACCATGATTGCTCTGGATGGACAAGAACATTTTAAACTGAGGTTTGTGTGATTAAAGATTTCAGATGTTACTGTGGACTGTGGAGTACTATGTAACCACCCTGCTATTTCCTGCAGCATGTGATGCCATTCCTACATATGTACCACCATACTCTAGCTGGTCTATTCTGGTACAGGCGAGCTGACTGCGGATTTAACTGGTGCATTTTAAATAGGATGGGAAGACACCGTGAGACACAACCCAATGCAACCACAGGGCTGTGCAGTCAGCTCAACTACTGCGTATTTTGATACAAACCTGGTTGTGGATGAAGTTGCTTTGGTTCTGTTCGTGCTAGTCAACTTGAACTAGTTAAGGGCATTGAAACCAGTACAGCTGGTTCACGCTGCAAAGTGAGCTATTTGAAGGTGAGATTAGGCTTTCCCTGGGGCCTTCCCCTAGGACCCTGCGGGGCCCGGGTGCCAGCGGGGCACTGCGGTGCCTCTCCCCGGGGGACACGTGGGGACGCTGTTCCCAGGGGCCGGAGCAGTGCCTCGGAGAGGGCGATACCGTCATGCCCACCGCTGGCTCCGGCCCAGCTCGGCGGGCAGGTGCGGTGCGGGTGCGAGGCGCAGGGCCCCGGAGGCTGACCCGGGCAGGCGGGCGCGCCCACGGTGCTCCAGGGGCAGCGATTCCGCCCCGGCTGCGCTGCCGGGGGCGCGGGGCATTTCTGCGCTGGACAAAGGCACGCGTCGGGCTCTGGCCGAGGCTCCTGGGCCCGTCGCCCGCCCTGATGCGGAGGCGTTGGTGGCCCCAGGCCGGCGTTGCGGGCGCACCCGCGGTGCCGCACGCGGCGCTGATCGGCCGGCCCTGCCCGCCCAGGCGGGGCCGCGCAGCGCGGGCGGCGGCGGCGGCGGCCCGGGCTCGGCATCCCCGTGACGCGGAGCCAATCAGGGCTCCGAGCTGCCGCTGCCAGCCCGGCCCCGCCCGCCGCTGCTGGGCCGGAGAGCTGAGGACGGGAAAGCTCTGCCGCGGGAGCCCGCGGTCGCCTCGCCGCGCTCCATGGGGATCGAGAGCTTCTGCAGCGCGGACGCTTCCGAGCCCTTCTGGGTGAGCGGCGGGATGGGGCCGGGTGCGGCTGGGCTCGGCGGCGGCTGGGCTCGGCGGCGGCTGCCGGTGTCGGCACGGAGGGATGGCGGGGAGCCGGGTGGGGCTTGGGTGGTGACGGAGCCCGAGGGGCTGCGCCCGGCAGCGGCGGAGCGGCAGCCTGCGGTGCAGAGCGCGGGGGCTGCGGTGCGCCCCGGCCGTGCGGGGTGTGAGCACCGGCGCGGAGCGGCCGCGGGCCGGCGGGGCTGGGCCGGGCCGTGCCGGCCGCTCGTGGTCTCCGCCTGGGCGCGGTGTCCCCACGGCCGGGTCGCGGAGCGGGCGCGCCTCGTGTGCGGGGCTTCCGGCAGGGAGATGCTTGGAGGCGAACGGGCCAGGGCGTCCCTGCCCGGCGCTGGGAACGAGCTCCGCGTGGCCGGGGCAGGGCTCTGCCCACGCGTTTGGCCGCTCGCTGCGTTCCTCGGGGCCGTGCGGGTAACAACAATAACGGTGTCTGACGGCCGCCCGCACACGAGAGCGGCCAGAGGAGGCCACGGAGCAGCGCTTTCTGTAGCTTTATCGCACCTTTGTACAGCGATAGGTATAAGGTATTTTGGCACTTCCTTAGCGGAGAGTGGTGAGCGCAGGTGCTGTGCGTGACCTGGGCACAGGTGAGCGGTGCGCGCACGTTGTGGTGGCTCTCGCTCAGCTGAGACTCGGGTTCCTGTGCGGGGACACGCCGGTCCTGGAGCAGCGAGGCACCTGGGAGAGCAGCACCGGAGGGAAAATTCATCTCAGGAGCAAACTGGTTGTGTGTAGAAGGAGGTTGCGTGGAGGAAGGGAAGAGCTGGAAAATAAATCTGGAGTGAGAGCTTCTAAGTCAACATAAGAAGAGAACTACTTGTGTATTCATCAGACGTTTGCCAAATAGTTTTGAGCTAATGAGCTGCCTTACTAGTGAAAAAATAAAACAGAATCAGATGTCTCAATAAATACCATTGTACTATTTATCTCAAGAACAATTAGGATATTACTGAGTAGATATTTTTAAAATCATCAAGGCTAAGACAATTAGTTTTTTCCAGCTGATCAAAACTGATTCTGCTAACTTGCTTTTATATTGCTTATGCTAATATCTCTTTCCTGCTATTTCTCAGGTTTTCCAGAACTGGCTTAATTATGAGTTGTCATTATACATATTTTTTTTCACTTCCCTAGAATGAGACTTTTCATTTGAAGGGCTTAGGAAAATGCATGTTTCAGAATGAGTTTATGGAGAAACTGACTTGAGAGAGTAGGATTGTGAAAAAGAGCTGCCAGCTCATTCTTTGAGCTGTGGAATTGTAACATCAGGTAGGCACAAGAGAAGTTGTGCCACACATGGGAAGTTGGAAGCAACCAGTTTATATGGGATTTTTGGCAGCAGATTCTTTTATTAGGAAAACTGTTCTCATGTGTATTGTAGCCATTTCTGGTATTTTTGTAAAAACTACTCCATATATTTTTTCCACTAGTTGCATTGATTCCCAGTGTTTTGGGATTTGTTGTCCTTCTCCAAATCACATGGAGTCTGCCTTTCATTTCTTCCAGCTAAAGATCCTGTGGGTGTGGTTGTTTGGTTTCTGGGCTCTTCTGATCCTACAGAAGAATAATTGTGCATTTGAGTGAGGGTTAGATGTGCCTGGAAAAAACTTCCTCCATGCTGACCTTGTCTTCACAAGTAACACTCTGTTTCCTCTTTGTTGC